GCTATTGATACTGAACAAATCTCTGCATCAAGAACGGACACAGACGATCCTGATAGTGATAGAAATGTCTCCTGTTTAAATCCATCGTTTCCCTTATCAGACAACTTTGGACAGCCTGGAAGTAGAATAGGAGAAGAGATGAGATCTGATCCTATAGAAGAGGATCAAAGTTTAGAAGTGTGTGTTTCTGTGGATACTCACACAGTTACGGGTTTCCTGTCCGAGAGCAGTATAATACCTGTTGTTTTCTCTTCAGGCCCATTAGTGTTTTCTAATCCTGGAAAGACATATGACCAGGGGGAAGATATTACACACGGTGATAAGAGCAGTGGTTTGGAAAGGGCACAAGCTCAAGATTCTCAAGATGCCCTTGCTATAGATAAGAATAATGCACAATCTTTACATAAAAACAGTTTCCACGAGAGTAGCACATCTCAAGGACTCACAGACAGCAGTCACCCAGATCACCTCATGAATTTACTGAAGCAAAATTCTCTCAGTTTAGACAGCGAGGACATGAGGAAAGCAAAACTGATATGCCAGGATGAAAGAGGAGGTCAAGAGCAGTCTGATGCTCCAAATATCCAGCTGCAGCTGCTGCAGGTTTTTAAGACTGTTTCCACAAGCCAAGACCTTTCAGTGCTTAAGGAAGTGATGGATACCCTCAGCAGCGCTCTGGGGTGTGAATCACAGCAGGAACAGTGGCACACACTGGAGAGCATCAAAGAGGAAAGTTCAGAGGGAGAGGATGAGGAGTCAGGAGAGGATGACGGCGCTCCAAAGAGTCACCAACCATCTGTTGAGGCCTCTGCCAGCTCATATGGCTGCAAAGTTGAGGAGGTCAAATATAAGGTGCGGTTTATTTTGGCTGAATGCTAAGTTCATCACTTCTTAGTTTTGGACATTAGTAACATCTGTTCCTTTTGTGAATTCATTTTTTTTTCTTTACCCACAGCTGTTCTCCATCCACGATTATTTGGAGTGTGTTGGGAGACTGCAGGATCACTCTGATGTTTTAGAAGATGCCAGAAAAGACCTCTCAACCCCAATACCCACAGACAACAACATGGAAGAACTGCAGAACCAAATAGAGGAATGTCAGGTTAGAAATGACCAGCTGAAGCCCATTTGTTTTTGAATAAATGATCGATTTTTTAATATATTTCAAATGTCAACGTGTGTTTCAGTTCCTGATCAAATTCTTTTTTTTTCTTTCTAGTCTCTGCAGTCTCAGCTTTCTAGTCTGGCTGATGTTCTGACAGTCGATATGGAGAAAGCCAAACAACTCATAAACTCTGCTGATGAAGACGTTCCCCAGCAAATCCACCACGACTTGGCCTCGATATATCTGGAGTTAGAGACAGATTTTACTGCTGTGTCTCACATGTGTGCAGAAAGAAGCAACTCTCTGATTCAAGCGATGGAAACAGGGAAGGTCAGTCTTAACACAGTAATTAAAATACAATAATATAACAGTAGCATCAGCCACTGACCCCTTTATATATGATTTTAGGTACACTTGGAATCAACATATCAGCAGCATCTCAGTGATCTCAATACGCTGGCGGGGCTCATTCAAAATAACTCTGAGATGTTGGGTGTGGATTTGAACACATGTGATGTGGACACTCTGAAACATCTGAGCCAGCAGAATAAGGTACCTTAAATCGCAGTTTAAAGCATTGCACAGCTTGAGTAAACAAGAGGAGAAAAACCCTCAACATCCTTCCATGTTTTATTTTCCCAGGACATGGAGGACCATCTGCAAAAAGAAGCCAGGCTCAAGTTAGAGGATGTCACGTTTGATATCCAGTGCTTTATTTCAGAGCACACTCAGTTCCTGAGTCCGGCTAAGAGTAGCTACCTCCTCAAGTTCCTCAGCACCACTCAGCGAGCATTCAGAGACCAGATAGAAAGGCTTGTAACACAGAAGAGTGCCTTAGATGTCCTGCTTGACGCCAGAGAGAGAGAAAACCTGGCAGAGGTCTGCCTTTGTATATGCTATAAATATATCATTTCACTGAGATTTTTCCTGGAAAGAAAAAGTGTAGCTCTGTTTTTGTTGCAGTTTAGATTGACATTTTCAGTTGTTTTACTTGAATTTAAGCTGTAAATCTGAGTGTTTTTTTTTTTTTTTTAATTTTAGACATTCTGCATGTTTCAGTGTATTCTGGTCTGAGTTTGTTGTTTCTTTTCCAGAGTTTGAGGTTGTAAATGCTCAAAGAAATAACAGCATTGCATGCTTGAGTGCTCGATCCCTGCTGGAGACTAACTTCTGTGCTTGTTTTCATTCTACAGGCTTTGAGACTCCGGCGAACCATTAACAGTGGACAAAATGTGCTATCTTTGTTGGAAAATGTCCTAAAAAACAAACAGACTAACACACAATATGATGTCCTCCTGTGCTTTTTAGCACCATGGCAACAAATTGGCAAACAGCATGTTTACAGCAAACTCGATATTTACACTGGTTTGATTTAGGAGAGTTTATTCTGAAGCAAACTTTGCACGTTACCTCTGCGTGCTCGAATTCTTGCTCCCTTCCTTTCCTTCCTTTCATTATGTGAAAACTGTTTTACACCTTTGATGTTTGTGTCTACATGAATGTTTTAGTGAGAATAGATTTGCGCAACACGAGATTTAACGATATAAAGTTTGACCTTAACTTTTTTTTTTCTAATGTCAGTCTTTATTGGAGAAACAGAAGGAGTTTACAGACAAGTTGGCGGACGTGTGTGATAATCTCACGCTGACTGAGAACCGCATGATTGGCCATAAGCAACAGGCTGAAAATGCTGAGAGTATTACAGACCTGCAGCAGTACCAGCAGGAGCATCAGGTTTGTCATAACTTGGTTTGCCCTACAAAAAAATATATTATGCTTCATTCATCAGTTAAAAAAACGTTCTTTTTCTTCACAAGGCTCTCCAAAAAGATGTGTTGACAAACGCCAGTGCCTTAAATGACGTGATCAGCAGTACTAATAAATTTCTCGTGGAAAACCGAAGCAAGATGACACCAGATCAAATCGCCGCTATTGAAAGCAAGCTGGAAGAGGCTAAAAGCAAAGCCAAGGTCATCAACCAGCGAGCCGAGGACTCCAGAAAAGATTTGGAGAAAGCTGTCACGACAGCCATACAGCAGGAGAGCGAAAAGGTTTGGCTTCCTTCCATGTGTGCTTTCTGTAAAAACTCTCTGTTTCCTGAGAATTTGAATTGTATGTTAGAGTGAAATCAGCATTGTTAATGTGTGGTCTGTCGGCACAGGCAGCAGCTGTCGAACAGCTTGAAGAGAGTAAGAGCAAAATTGAAGGTCTTCTGGACTGGATTTCCAATGTAGGAAATAAAAACAAGAGCAGCCTGGATCAAACAGACCATGTAAGTCAAGAAAATGGAAACCTGCCAGAGGAACCTTCAGCTAAGGGACTGATAACAGACGATGATAATGCCAACGGAAACGCTTTGCAGGCCACTGAAAAGGATTTTGGCAGAGAGACCAGTAGCGAGGACAATAAATCCCCGAATCTTGATAAGCAGTACCAAAGGCTCAAGGTATAGTTAGTTTGTTGGAGTTTATTTATTTATTTTCAATAGTGATTCATACCATTTTTCCTAACAGCTCACAATATTAAGATCACTAGACTGAAAACATAAAGCTGTCTTAATAACTGAAATATAACGTGTATTAAAGAGATGGTGGAGACAAGAAATGCCTCTGAGTGTTTTCAAAACATTAAAAAATAGATAAGACTACACTTAAGGTCTCGAAAATGTCTAAAATATCTTATGGCATACTAATAACATGTTTTGCTATAATTGTGACCACAGGCCCATCACCAGGAGATTCTGTCTCAGCAGCAGGATCTGATCATGGCCACCCAGTCAGCTCAGGCTATGCTTGACAAGCAAGCCAACGTGCTGTCTCCACAGGAGAAGGAGGCTTTGCAGAAGAACATCCAGGAGCTAAAGGAGCGCTATGAGACGTCCCTAACTCAGGCTGAGCAGCAGATGAAGCAGGTGCAGTGTGTCCAGGAGGAGCTGAAGAAGTTCCAGGATGACTGTGAGGAGTTTGAAAACTGGTTAAACCAGGCTGAAGAAGAGATTTTGGAACTGGGAGCACCTGCAAGCTCCCTTAATATCCTCAGTGATAACCTTCAGCGACAGAAAAGCTTCTCGGAGGATGTGATTTCCCACAAAGGGGACCTTCGCTTCATCACTATTTCGGGACAGAAAGTGCTGGACGTGGCTAAGGCATTTGGATCAGCTGATCCGGCAGCTAAGAATCCGCTGCTGCATGTGGATACTTCAGGGACCTGTTCTGCTGTCAAGGATAAACTAGATTCAGCAGCCAGTCGATATAAAACACTACACTCACAGGTATTTAGTATGCAGCTGATCAGAATGGGCGTAATGGCTTATTTTTCCCACTGTGTGGCAGCATCTGTCCTAATAAAAAATAAACACCTAAAAAAAGTTTTAAATGGCAAATTAATTTTTATTTAAATATATATAAGCTTAAGGTTAAAGTTGATGTAGTTTAACATGAAGCTGATTTGCTGCACAGAAAGTTTAGAGCTGTCCTAGTTGGAATTACAGTGGAATAAATAACAGAAAACATTGATTGAAATTAGATTTGAAAATATTATTTTAAAATATAAGTAAAACTGCAGCACCTCTTTTAGTTAACTTTACTGTGAAAATGGCTTTTCGAGATCGAGATCTTATGGTCAGTTATTTTTGCTATTATTCTTTTATTTAAACAACCAAAGTGAATCTATTTTCCTTTTGTCACAGTGCAATCTGCTTGGCAACAACCTCAAAGACGTGGTTGACAAGTACAAAAAGTATGACGACTCAAGCACCGGTCTTTTGAAGTGGCTCAACAGCTCAGAGGAGGAGGCGAGAAAGCAGCAATCGGAGGCCATAGCAGCTGACCCTCAAACACTACAGAAACAGCTGGAGGACACCAAGGCAAGAACCGCAACAAAAAGCTGAACTAATTAAGCCTAAGAGCTTAAAGTCAAGTCAAGAATGTTGTGTTGAAAAGCCGAGATTTGTTTCAACCCTGTGGTATTTTTTTCTTTAATCTCATTGTTATCCCTTGTTATCGAGGCCAAAGAGAATTCACGTGAAAAGATACTTTTAGACATTTTTTTTATGTTATTTTTTGTGTTATTTATCCTCATTATAGCTTTCATCAACTCGGCGTCAACTCTAAAGGTTAGGCGCAATCCAAGCACAGACAGAAGGAACAGCCTTGTTTAGACGTGACAGTTATAGGGGTTATAAGGGCAATAGACCTTGCCTCGCCATATACAGTGTTTCCACTGACTTAAGTGCAACAAAGTTATTTTTAGCTTCGCGTTTAAACTCAAACCCACATGTGAATAGTTTAACTCTGGTCATTTGTAGTGCGCATACTCCTACAAGAAGATAACGAACTGGGCTGACAGAGCTGTCTCTGTCAAGGCTTTGGCTGCAGCTAGTTTCAACATTTCTCTGTAGCGAGGTAGTGACTTACAGGATAAATATGCACAGATAAGAGCTGCCTGCGAGCCAACCAAGAAACACAGTACTTTGGGCTTGGACTTGAAATCGCTGCAGAAATTCTAAGCACTTTTCTAAGAGTAATAGTGAAGTCACATAGGTGGATTCAACTAACCAATATTAAACCCAGGCATGATCGCTCTGAGGCTATTATCATCAAGTACGCTATATAAAAAGCGTAGATTTTGTAGAAACAGAGCATGTATTTATGAGGATTGTTTTTTTTTACCTTTCTTGTCACTATTTATTAATCTCCAGGTTTTACAAGGTCAGATGATGGGGCACCAGACTGCTATTGATTCTTTACGTAAAACAGCTGAGTCTTTAATAACATCTGAAGGTGACCTGCTGAGCAATCCAGATGAGATCCAGGAGACAGTAGGTGAGAAAAATAAAAGTCAGCTGCACAGCATGATCTGTATACCTAATGGCTCAATTTCCCAGACAGACATTAAGCCTAGTGTCCTAGACTATAAACTTTTTAAATGAAAGTCTGCACTACTTGTTCTTTTAGTCTGGTCCTAATCCATGGTCTGGAAAAGCTACTCTGGGCTGAAGGGACACCCAAATTCCTGCTGTTCAGATTTAGACCTTTTAAATAAGTAACTTGAAAGGCAGCAGACAGTTAAATAATGTGGAAGTAGTTTTGGAAAATTTTACATATTTTCAACTGCCCTGTGAAATACTAATCGAGCACTGTGTTAATGTAAAAAAGAAAGCCATGATTTATCAAGCTAGGTTGGCGTCAACATACCACAAAGAGTTCACCATTACTTTACTACAACAGAAAAATGTTATCAGTGTGATTCATGGCTTTTGGATCATTTGTGTTCATTTTTCCCCAGTTATTGGTTTCTTGGCATATACTTAAAATGCTGTTACCTCAACCAAAAAGCTAATGAATGTCCTTTGCCAACATTATAGCCTAAACAAACTCATAAAAGCCAAATATGTTTCTACCTTAGTTTGAAATGTTTACCTTATGGTGTGCTCCAGACAGCGAGACATGATCCTGTTTTAAGCAGAACCTGATTTGTTTTCGTGCGTTTTAGATGACATAGTGGAGCGTTACGACAACCTTTCCAAGTCTGTAAGCGATCGAAATGAGAAGCTGCAGATCACCCTGACTCGCTCTATGAGTGTTCAGGATGGCTTGGATGAGATGATGGGATGGATGGAGGGAGTTGAGGCCAGTGTGGAAGAAAAAGGGCAAATAACCTTGGACTCTGCATCTCTTGGAGGCATCCTGAGCAAAGAAGCAGTATGTGGTTTTTTTGGTCAACATTTCAGCGCTCTAATAATGCTAAAATTTCGTACCAGCTTCATATTTATTTTAATAATCTAATAAAACTTTAATGTTTTCAATCTTTTTTTGTTTAAGGCTTTAGAGCAGGACATAGCAAGTCGCCAGAGCAGCATCTCAGCCATGAAAGCCAAGGTGAAGAAGTTTGTGGAGACAGCTGATCCCTCTGCTGCCGCGCTTCTGCAGTCTAAGATGGACTCTCTCTCCCAGCGCTTCTCTGATGCGTGTGATCAGCACAGGCAAAAAATTGCTACTCTGGAGAAGCTGAAAGAAAAGGTAGAGCAGTTTGAGAATGTAGCCGAAAAAGTCCAGCAGTTTGTTTTGAAGCGCTCACAGGACCTGCACGAAACAGACGGCCCGGGGAAAACTTTCAATGAACTGTCTCAGCTAATGCAGGTGCGTTTAAAAATTTTGACTATTTTCTCACTAATCTAATTTCATCATGCACAGATTAGCTGACAGATGATATTTTTCTGCAGAACACCAAAGCTGAGATGGCTGAATATGCTGGTGATTTGGAGAAGCTGCAGACTTTGTCCAAGGAGCTGTCTGAAATAAGCCCTGATGGAAACAAAGCCCAAATTCAGAGCAAGCTGGACAATCTCTCAAATGTTTTCAGCACCTTTAAAGACACCATCAAAGAAAAGTAAGTCTGGAAGAACAGAGTTTTGCTATTTTTAACTCTTAATTTTGTGTTCTTTTTATTAACTTTAACATTTGTGCATTGTTTGTAATATTCAAATGGATGCAAACTCTGACTGATTCCTCACGCCTGCTTGCAGGGAAGAGGAACTGTCATCTTGTCAGGACCAGCTGGGAGAGTTCAGATCTGCAGCTAGCGCTCTCACTAAGTGGCTGGAGGAGGCTAATGAAAAAGTACCTGCAGATCAGCCAAGCAGCAGTGAGAAAACTCTGGAGAGCGACCTGCAGATAGTCACTGTGAGTCATGAGATAAATACAAAGTATATTTTAGAGAGAGTGTTATTTTTTATATGTGTTTTATCTTACTGCAGTTAAGGTGCTGGAACAGAAGTCACTGCTGTTTACACACTGACACAGCAGTTTGGAATTCATGGGTTTTGCAATAGGTAGTCACTACGTTTTAGTAGATTATAGTCCGAGTCTCCTTAAACTCCAAACTACCCAAATGTGCTTACTCTGCCTGCTAATGACAGCTAAATAGTTGGTGTCTATACAGGACATATCTAAGAGTGAAACAGTGCGCTGTCCAGCAGAGAGACTATTTTCTTCACAGAAAAGATAAAAAGATCTGTCTGTCTGTCTGTCTATCCATCCATCTATCCATCTATCTATCTTCTAAATGACATATAATGAATGTTTTATCAGGGATTACTAGATGAATGGACCTCCAAAGGCTCCGCTGTCCAAGACCTGAACACTAAAGGATCGACGCTGTGCAACTTGATTACTTTCCTCACATCACCTGCCAAGACAAAGACTCCCAACAAGTCGGGTAAACATCAGCACACATAGACTCGTGTATATGAGTCATAAAACTGAATCAGATGGGTAGTGTTTGGGTTGTCTTCTGAGTGTTGTTTAATTACTAACTGTTAAAGATCATTGAAGGATCTGGTGCCATGAGTTCTGGTCCATCTGCTTGTTCCTAACATAAGCTTTTTTTCATGTCTTTGCATCAGCTCTTACTAATGGTGATGGTCCAGCAAGCCATACCTACCTAACCAACAAAGGTAATGAAGTGTGTATGTGGGTGCTGCTTTGTCATCAGAGTGTATGTGGTCCATGCTGCGTAAATAACCTCTAAGTATCTTCAGATTACAACTATTAGTTAAAGAAAAAAGACAATAAGAAATGCCCTCATATTCTGAATACACTGTCCTATACCATATAGCATGTTGCTAATGTATTACTATTATTAATATCTCATGCTGACTATAAATGTCTGGAAAAAATAAAATTATAACAGTGAGTTTATTTTTCATATCCTCAGAGCTGATGGTTATTCAGCAGAACATGTCTTCCATCAATGTGGGGTACACGGACCTCGGAGAAACGCTGAAGAATCGCTCAGCACAGCTGAGTAGTTTGTTGCAGAAGGTGAAAGAGGCCCAGAAGGAGACAGATGACATGATGCTGTGGCTGAAGGACATGAAAAAGACCGCACAGTCCTGGAACAGTGCAGCCACAGAGAAAGACTCGGTGAAAACACAGCTTGAACAGCAGAAGGTACAAAAAGTGTTGCTGCTCTCCACGTGGAGTGTTACATTTAATTATATAACAAAATTGCATGTGGTTCTCACTGTGAATACGATAGCCATTGGACAATCTTAAAAGAAATCATTAGGTATTTATGATTTGTTTTGCTCTTTCAGGCATTTGAAGACAACATGAAGCAAAAACAAGAGGCGCTTCACAAGCTCAGAGAGAAGCTTCTCGACTTGATTAAGACTCATCCAAACTCACCCGAGGCAGCAAAATGGAAGCAGATGCTGGCAGAAATAGGTGTGGTCCATGGTGTTGGCTTCAAATGGCCTCGTGTTGTTTATGTCTGTGTGTCTATGTTGACTTCTAATGCTGCATTTCATAAATTCATTTGTCAAAATGTGAGCCTACCTCAGTCCCTTCCCCCGGTACACTGGTTAAATTAACACATGTGTTGTGCCAGGTTGTGAATAGGTGGGAGGCTTGCTAGGAGAACAGTGGGACAGAGGCCATAAAGGTGCTGTTGTGCTGACTAATGGACATTGGTGTGATTGTTCTGTCCTCCTGTTCAGATGCTGCCTGGGCAGACATCAGTGGCTCTGTTGAGGAGAGGAAGCAGCACCTGGAGCAGTCCAACAAGAATCTGGACATCTTCCAAACAACGGAGCAGCAGCTTGGTCAGTGGCTTTCAGAGAAGGAGCTGATGATGAGTGTCCTCGGACCCCTCTCCATAGACCCGAACATGCTTAAAATGCAGAAGCAACAAGTCCAGGTTAGAATGGCGCCTTTGACTCATTTTCACTAAGCATTTCCTGAGGATTTCTTAAGGTGTGCTCGTCGTCATCATATATTCTTTCTCTATCCCCCAGATCCTCCAGAATGAGTTTAAGAGCCGCAAACCTCAATATGAACAACTCGAGGAAGCTGCCTCCGCCATCCTAAGCTCATCAGGCGATCAGGACCCTTCGAGTGGGAAGCTGGTGAACGAGCAGCTTGCTGCAGTCACTCAGAAGTGGGCAGGCCTCACAGGACAGCTGGACCAGCGAGACAGCCTTATTGATCAGGCAGTGGTGAAAACCGGGAAGTTTCAGGAGTTACTGAGGAGCCTCAGTAACACTGCCACTCAGCTGGAGAGTCAGCTCACAAACCATCAGGGCCTCAGCACGCGACCTGATGCTGTGAAGAAGCAGTTGGAGGATGCCCAGAACATCTCGGCTCAGCTGCGAGAGGAGAAGAAGAAGCTGAAGGAGGCTGAGGCCATCAATGAAGAGCTCACAGCGATGGTGACTGAGGACTACCTCAAAGCAGACCTCGCAAGGCAGCTGGAGAGTGTTTGCAAGCCTTTTAAGCAGTTGGAAGAGAAAGCAGGTTAGTGTCCTGAAAATTAAAAACTGTTTTGTTATGTTGTATAAAACTCACTTTATCGCTGGTGTTGATCAACTTACTGAATATGTTTTCCATATTTCTCTGTTCCAGCAAAAAGAATTGAACAGTTAAACTCCACCTTTGCCAGTTCTCAGCAGTTTCATCAGACTTCCAAAGATTTACAGTCATGGCTGGGTGAGAAGCTCCAGGACCAATTGAAGCCCAAACCCATCTCTGCCAAAGTGGAGGTTCTGCAACAAACTGTGGAGGAGCACAGTAAACTCCAGAAGGCTCTCGGTGAACATGAGAAAGCTTTTAATACAATCATTGGAGAGGGAGAGCTGCTTCTGCACAACATTGATGGTGCAGAGAAGTTAGCACTACAAGGTCAGCTTACTACCCTCTCATCCAACTGGGAAGAAGTGAAGAAGAGCTCCGCAGAGCAGGCTGACAAACTCCAAACTGCTCTGATGAGATCACTGAAGTATCAGGAGCATGCGGAGAAGCTTAACTCTTGGATTCAGGAGTGTGAGGCTAGCGAGGGCCGAGTCAAGCTCACCGTTGATCCTGCTGCTGTGGAGACTTCCATTTCTCAGTTGAAAGCTCTCCAGAAGGATGTTGATAAGCACAGAGGGTTGGTGGAGCAGCTCAATGCAGCTGCAGATAGCCTTCTTGAGGTGGCCAACACAGACACTGACGCTATAAAAGAAGAGAAGGCTAGCACTGGCAAAAGAGTAGACAATATAGTGGAAAGTCTGCAGGGCAAAAGGGAATCTTTAGAGAAGATCTCGCACACAGTAAAGGAATTTAATGATGCGTGCAAAGAGGCAAAGACTCAGCTTGAGGGAGCTAAGAAGCAAGTGGATGCCTATGAAACACAGGGAGTTCAGGCACACAGCAACAAGAGCCTAACCAACATGAAAGCCCAACACAAGAGTTTAGAGGCTGTGCAGAATCAAGTAGAGCACATGAAGGCCTTGGCCAAGGACCTTGTGGTGGATGTCCCAGATGCTGAAGGAGTGACAGACCTCTTACTACAGGCGGACAGCATAGAAAAGGACTACGGCAACCTTAATAAGAAACTGGAGGAGACATGTCAAGCATTGGAGGGTAAACTGCAGGGTATCGGACAGTTCCAAAACAACATCCGCGAGATGTTTGGACAGTTCACAGAGCTGGATGATGAGCTAGACAGCATGTCCCCAGTGGATCTCAATTTGGACACTCTTAAAGAACAGCAGGACAGCATTCAGAGTTTTGTGGCTAAGCTGCGAGAGCTCATGGCTAACACGGCCAATGCTGGAGACAGCTGTAAGAAGATGTTAGAGTCTGAACCCTCACCTGACCTTCTAGGCCTGAAGAGAGATCTGGATGCTCTGAGTAAGCAGTGTGGCAAACTGTTAGACAGAGCCAAAGGAAGAGAGGTCCAGGTGCAGAGTACGCTCACAAAGCTAGAGGAGCTGTATGGTAAACTCAATCAAATGGAAGATAAACTCTGCAGAGCTGTGGACAAGGAGGTGTCCCAGGAGCCGGTCAGCATGGAGACAGAAGTGATCAACCAGCAGCTGGAGGCTTTTAAGGTATGTTTGTCCTGATCTGAGGCTTTATTTTCAGTTTTTTGCCTGATAATATGGCATTTTTAACACATTAAACCACAGTATATCTGCACCTTTTTGGTTTGTGATTTTCGGGAATCAGTGTTGCTACAGTGGTAAAGCTGATGATCATTGTTGTAAGGAACTTTATACCTCCTCATACATCTAGCTTATTTCAAAAGTCAGTAATTTCCTATGATCATAAAAAAATCTCAATTTTTGTGCCTTTCATTCACTTTTTACTTTTGGAAAAGCAGTAGACATTTGATATCTTATCTTGTGTGCTGTGCTTTTGTCAGTTTCTACTCTAACGATTTTGTTTCGGATGTAAGTCCTCCAAAATAAAATTAAGGCTTAATATTTTCAAACTAATTTCTAGCAACACTGAATATAATATAATAAATTCCCTAATATCTATAACAATATATATAATATATCTGATATTCCTGCTAAAATTAAATTTTAAGCATTAAAGTAAAAAATTTCATTTTACAATAGTGGTTTACAAAAAAATGAGTTAAGAATGATCTATTTTTTTGCTGGAAGGTTTTTCCTGTAAAGGGGAGTTTTTTGTTTCCACTGTGCTTGCTCACAGAGGATCGTCTCATTGTGGTTTTCTTAGTTATTCTTAGGTCTTTACCTTACAGTATAGAGCACTTTGAGGGAACTGTAGTTGTGATCTATATAGATTTAATTGGAATCCTGCTTTAATTTTAAGCCTAAATCTGGATTTCGTTAGTTTAAAAAAACAACAACTTTTAAAACCTACAAATACATGCTAACTACCCACAGAACCTCGCACAGGAGAAAATTATACCAGCACACTGAGCACACACAATCCTCTGGGGACTCCTGGTTCATTTGGGGCATCTGGTGTCAACAAAAGAGCTAGAGCTCCATATGCAGTGATGGGGCAAAAGGGAAGGGCCGTCATAGCCAGGTGGCTGCCAGCAGGGTGTTGCTTGATTTTATGATGACTGTCATTTTTAAAATCCCCTGAATAATATAGTATTTGTGCTCAGTTAAGTGTCCATTAAAATTGGTGAAGCACTTTTAAATCAATCAATAGCTTGATTATTTAAACTAGCTGCTATGTAATTACAGCCTATGCCAATGAACACTTTAATCCCAAAGGCTATAAATTCTTGATTTCAACTTTTGCCTGTAATTTTTGGATTCAGTTTGTAAAATTGATGGACTTAAGCGTATTGGCTGTGTTATTATAGGGCCTTTAAGCATATTGGCAGTTTTACAGACATAATGGTTTGTTTTCAAGTTAATCTAACTCTCATTGTTAACAAAATTATGGGTGCCTTTGCTGCTATCACATAGGGATCAAACATGGGTTAGCCAGGACTAAGGTTCACAGACGGATGCAAAATATTCTAAAAGCTCCTAAATTCCTGTGGATTCAAAAGCAGATTAACCTATATTTGCTGTAGAGGTGCAATGATGAAGGCCTTCTTTATTTATAGTATTAGTATTTACCAAAAGCCCCCCAAAACAATGTAAACAGCTGTGTATAGGCAAACCACACAGATCTGTCCTTATATGTAGGTCAAGGGATTGTTTTTTCTCAATTAATGGGGTGCTGCACTCGAACAGGGGAGCATCCAACCCCCACAAGGGATGCTTGTATTAAAATATCATTGGGGTAGCAAGGTCGGAGGTGCCTGCTTCTAGTGTGGAGTTTGGTTTAAAGAGCTTGCAGGGTAGCTATTAACAAAGTGATTGATTCAAGTTGTTGCTAAGCAGCATTGTCACGGTGATTCACCCCCCAAGTCTTTGTCTTATTGCCACTCTGCGTTTAGAGGGCATACACGGCCTCAGCTGTCAGCGGAAAATCCTCTTTACACTCATTTGTAACAATATCAGGGGGGGAACGGTCCAGGACAGCAAATCAGTGTTGGACCTGAAGTTGTTTCTTTATTTAGCAGCAGTCTGGATAATTGTGTCATCTTCTTTTTTATATCCAGTGAATCAGGCTATTTTTTGCTGTTGGTTAAGTGGACTTTATTGGCAGCTAGTGAGCAAGAAATAAACAGAGAAAGACAGCGCTTGGATTCCTTTCTTTCATGTGCTGTTACCATTTTAGGTCAAGTTTCGAATGAGACGTCTTCGACTTCATGTGTTTGCTGTTGTTTTCCCGTGAGTTGTGTAGGAGCTTGGAAGCCCTCGTGTGTCTTTATGTGCACCCAAGGTCATGTTTTAGTGACTCAACTGTACGGGTGGGGGGCTGGTGTGGCAACTTTTTCTCACTGTTGAGACATTACATCAGTGTCTCTTGCAAGCCAAGACAAATGTCTACTTTCTGAATCACACTGTAGCTACTCCAGCTCATTGAAGGTGATGATAGTTGTAAAAAGTGTCACTGGAGCCACATTATTCATTATTCACAAAGTCATGAGAAATTATTATTAATGTGAAACATGAAACCCCTGTGGGCCAGCCGAACGGTGTAATGGAGTTGTTATGTTGAGTTTTTACTCATTAAACGTTTCTAGTGTTGGAGAGAGCAGACATAAAGTTTAGATGCAATAGGATTTTTAAAAAAGACCCATGTAGTGTGAAAGCAGTGAGTTTGAGTGAAATGTTGTTTCAGGCCTCTTGTTCTCCAGGTGATCAGCTGACTTCATATCTAAATATGAGAGTGTCATCTTGCTCAGAGAAAAACTGAGGTGTTCATGACAAGACTTTTAAAGCACAAATGGCAAGACTTTAACTTTAAATATTTGTCTTTAATGATAGTAAAATTACTTGATTTTGGCCAGTGTGTCATCTTAAGCTATAGTAAATTATCATGACATCTGTTTTGTGATAAGTTAACCTGTATAGGTTTCAGGTCCTTCTAATTTTATTAAAAGTAATAACTCGATAGAGACGAAAGCAAAGCAAAGACTGAGATTTGGTAATCCTTGTAAGAAGTGCACACACGCCCTCGAACACACACTACATGAACTCTAACTAATGTTTGCTCATCTTTGGTGATAATAAAAGAGCTATACTCTATTTAAAAAAACAAACAAACAACGTCTTCAACCTTTAGTGCCCTCTACTTTTGGTCTTTAGAACTTAAATAAAATGTAGTGTTCACAATTATGAAAAGTTTGCCAGGTTGTAAAGTTACATGTAACTTACAAAGACTGACAAAGAGACCTGTAGCAGCTGAAAAGGAAAAATAATTGGTATTCATATATTCAAATTTTCAGACTTGTCCCAGCTTCACACACGCTCGCTTTAAAATTTTGCTTTTTTATCCCTAACGTCTTCCTCTTTCCGTCTCTGCTCAAGCGTGCAGAACTGGAAACCGTGGTTTGGGTTGTTGAAATTCACGCTGAGCCGCTGCGGTGCTGACAATGCAGGAAACAGAAATAAACTCTTTTCATTATCTCCTCTCTATCCTGCATTCTTCTCCTACCCCCGGTCAGTGGACATTAAAAAGTCGCGTCATGCACTTGGCAGAGCCGTCGGTGTTAAATTACCTGGGACCTGTGCCTCCCTCAGCATTCCACTGTAATTAAGAATATCTGTGGGGTCCACAGCAACCGTCCACGAGAAGAAAGGAGAGGGCAAAGCGAGAAAAGACGAAAAAAAAAATGTGTGTGTGTGTTTCAGCGTAGTGTGATGTCATCACAGTGAGAGCTGGTGCGTACTGCTTCCCCTTCTCATTTCCTCAGTCACTGAAGGGAAAAAAGGGAAAAGTGAGAGTATGTGTCATGATGCAAACATGGGTTAGAAGTGAAGTCATTTTGGCCGTGCGGACATAAGGGGGAATTAAACAGGGGGGGGGAAAGGGTCACATGCCCACCAATCAACATGGGCCGGAGCGGCTCAGAGCACAAAAGGAGTTGTGGCAGATGTTGTCTGAATAATGAGCGGGGGCGGGGCATGAAACCCTCTGCCAGCAGAGTGTCTGTCAGTGTGAGGGGAGCGATGGGAGAGGAAGGGCAGGCTTTTTTGTTTATCCAGGAGTACTAGCTCTCCTCAGAACTGCCTGCAGTTTGTAGTGGAGCCTGCTGGATTTGTTTCTGGATATTTTCACTTTGCACTGAGGATTTTCCTGAAGTTTATGTGGATGTTGTAAGGATTTCAGGAAAAAGGAAGCACTTTCTACCAGAGGAATAGTATTTGGCAATACTTGGAGAAGAGCCCAGAGGAATATATTTTTGGAATAGGTGACTTTATTGAAAGACTGAACTTTCATTCCTTTTATGGAATATAAAGTTGTTTTACAGTCCGGGCATTTTTGGGAGATATTGTTTGAATATTTTTGCATATCCAAAGCCTTTTGTTTTGAAGTTTGATCATCTTAATTATTATTATTATTTTTATTTAAAAAATAGTTGAAATGTTTTATATTCAGTTGTTAGCTTCTCATTTAAGAGAGGACAAACAGTGTTATTTTGCACATGGTTACTTGTCGTGTAAGTTGGCCACATGTTGGCTTCTTTTTAAACTACTCAGCATACACTAAATTTATACCTCAAAGGATTTCAATACCTCCTTTATATTTTTTTGTTGTTGTAAGCTGTGACAATTGTTTTAGCATGGGCAAGCCTCTGAGCAGACCAGATTGCCTCAGACAAAACCCTTCCTGTGTTGGGAAGGGGGAGGAGGAGGATATGAACATTGATGACTGCTATGTGCCCCAGAGATCCATTTATGACACCGTCCGGCTCAATGAGCAAATAGACTCGGGCTCTAAAGGTAGTCTTTCTTCCCGTCACTTCACAGGCAACCTCCCTTACACCCATCGCACGTTAGACCTCAGCAGCCTGTGTGGAAATGGAGCTCTCACTCCTTCTAGCTCATTTGAGATCCAAACCAGAAAACCTGTCACGCTAGATGAGCGTGCCATCTTTGATGGACTTAAGCTGAATGGGGACATTATTAGGGTGAACGACACAGTAATGTCGAAGTCACGTCTGCAGGGAGGAGAGAAAAAGGACCATGGCGGTCATCATCGGCGGTCATGGCGGACTTTTGCCCCCACTAATTTGGGCGAATACGCAAGCCGCAGTGGAACAGTGAGCTCTGGTAGTGCGGAGAGGCCTGGCCTGATCAATGGCAAGAGAGGACAGAGTAGGACCAGCTCACTGACATCTGAAGAAGACTCGGGTTTGTATAGCCCAACTGTGGAGAGGGAGCGACATGGTCGTAGATCCCACATAAGAACAGGCCCCGGTACAAGAAGCTTCTCATCTTCCGAGGCAATGCATGTGTCTGGGGACCTGAAAACAGGGCGATCGCTCAGCTCAGGGCAGGAGGACTTTCCTTTCTCGCCTGTGAGGGACAACCGATCTCTTTACCACAGTAGCAGCTTGGTTCAGGGGACAGAATCCCGTGGGATCAAGGTTAATGAAAGGGATAACCTAAGCAATGGAGATTATAAATCTTCCACAGGGAGGTCATCTTCAGGGTCAGCCTCCAGAGCTCAAAATGACACCTCTGGATGGCGTTCCAGGACTTTAACAGACTATGATGAGCTATCCACTGCTGAACTGTTAGAGGATGTGTCATCTCAGGATGACTGTGAGTTGGTTAGTGTGGTAGTGACACAGCCTGAGACTTACGGAAACTCTGTAACTCTACCCACGGAGAGCTGCCAGCAGACACAACCCGGTACTGTGCAACAAGGGGCATCCAAATACAGCATGGAGGAGCTGGAGGAGTTTCTGCAGTCACTGGAAGCCTGTCTGCCTAAAAGTATACAGACATTCCAGCACGCAGGGGAGCAAGAGATCGAGGCTTTACTGAATGCCATTGCTGCGTGCCCCGAAATGGACCCTATGGGCTTATTGACCCCACAGGTGGCCAAAAATAGTTTCTCCCTCCATTTCTGAACTTTTGACCACTATTATGCATCTCTTTAGATTCGTTTTTCATGGATGATGGATTGGTGTTTGTCTGATATCTGATTACACGATGGGTGAATGAGGTTTTTCTCAGCAGCCAGACTGGAAGTCTGTCTGCGTGATTGTGTACAGCTGGGATTTAACCATTAAGCAAGCTGATGACTCCTTAACTGGTTAAACAGTTGAATGTGTTAGCTGGAGTTTTAAAAGTTAACCTAAAGTGTTGATGTGGCGATTGTAGTCTCTGGACATGAATAATGAAATAACTTCCTGGGATTATGCACTGAATTTATGAATTTTTATGTGTGTCTTTTTTTAGCTGTTTTTGAACTAACTTTTAAAACAGGACGTTATTGTAATTCACCTTCTCAAATTCCAGATTTGTTGAATGAATTCATGGAAATATCTGTTCTTTCCATACACATAATGCAAGTTTAATTGGATTTGTATGAATGTGATTTTTTAAGGCCGCAGGAAATAATGTCCTGAAGATTAATGACACTATATTTTGAGCAATTCTAAAATATTCATTATGATTTGTTCCATGTCTATTTAGGCTTTTCAGAAAGAGGACATTGATCCACTGCAGAACCAGCTTCAAGACATCAATTCCCTTGGGCAGGGTCTGATCCAGAATGCTGCTAAAGGCACTAGCACTAAGAAACTCGAGGACGACCTGGAAGGTGTCAACTCTAAGTGGAATACCCTCAACAAAAAGGTTACACGTGTTTGTGTTTTTTTTTCCGTTGTGAAAATATAAAGACTTGACCTTGGCCCTTAAAACAGGTGACATCTATATTTACCATTTGGTCTGCAGATTGCTGAGCGTTCAGCCCAGCTGCACGAAGCCCTCTTGCACTGTGGCCAGTTCCAGGATGCTCTGGAGTCCCTACTCAGCTGGTTGACTGACACGGAGGAGCTCGTGGCCAATCAAAAACCTCCGTCTGCTGAGTTCAAAGTGGTGAAGGCACAGATACAAGAGCAGAAGGTAAGCAAGTGGTGCAATCACAGATTCACACAAAGAGAAAACACATTGAAGTCTGTTTTAATGTTAGCACTTCAATACTTCATGTTTGCTTAACATTGGCCCCACCATTAATTTTATTTAATTGGCATTAATTGTTAAAAACAAGTGTGGTACACAAAGCTTTGTGTTTATAGAGCACTTCTTTTTTGTTGGGTAAATTTACTGTTTTTCTTTTTCAAAATAAAGCAATGAAAAGGCACCCAATGACTCTCTTTCTTTGTTTGCCTTTGACAGCTCTTACAGAGACTGCTGGACGACCGAAAGCCGACAGTGGAGCTGATAAAAAAGGAGGGAGGGAAGGTTGCTGAACTGGCAGAGTCTGTGGATAAGGAGAAAGTGGCAAAAGAGATTGAATGCCTGGGACAGAGGTGGGACACGCTTCTCAAGAAGGCTGAAAACAGGTTAGTATAAACACTGCAACGTAAAACCATAGACTGCATATAAAAGATGGGTGGATCCTCAATATTTAAAAGCGAAGGTGCATTCTTTCTAATGACCAGTAGGAGTAAGTCTGTTGGTTGGTATGATTTCAATCTCCAGGCACAAACAACTAGAGAGCATCTTAGTGGTGACTCAGCAGTTCCATGAGACTCTGGAGCCGCTGAGCGAGTGGCTGTCAGCCACGGAGAAACACCTCGCCAACTCTGAGCCAATAGGCACTGAGACTTCTAAGCTGGAAGATCAGATATCTCAGCACAAGGTAATATCCATCATTTTTCATCATTTCCATTTGTTTTCATGCTTTTTTAAACTATCAGTTAAGTTCACTTCAGTTTTATTCATTTTGCTTGTTACTTGTAAGTTTGCGCTTCTCATTATTTCCCATTCATCTTTCTAAATTTCAGTTGAATATTTTTTATCACGTGTTTGTTTTTTGTTTGTCATGTTTTCTTGGTCCATTTCCCATCCCCTGCCGCCAGACATTAGAGGAGGAGATTATGAATCACAGTAAAGACCTGTTTCAGGCTGTCAATCTTGGCCAAATGCTCAAAACTGTGAGCTCAGTGGACGATAAGGAGTTTGTTCAGTCTAAACTGGACACCACTCAGGCCAGTTACATAGAGCTCCAGGAGCGATGCAGGAGGAAAGCTGAAATGCTTCAGCAAGCTTTGGCAAATGCCCAGCTGTTTGGAGAGGATGAAGTGGCTCTCATGAACTGGCTCAACGAGATACACACAAGGCTGTGTGAAGTTTCGGTGGAAGACTACAGACTAGAGGTTCTTGAAAAGCAGCTGGCAGACCAACGGGTATACACTCCTCCTCAGGCAACACATTTTGTAGCCCTTTCATTTAAGTTGCATCAATCATGTTTCAGTTTATTTTGCTCTTTTGTGTGTCACCATAGGAGCATTTCTTGTTACTCTCAGTGACTCTCTGAAGTCTCGTTTTTTTTCTTTTCAGGCACTACAAAGTGATATTGGCTTAAGGAAGAAGAATGTTGACCAAGCCATCTCCAATGGGGTAGAGCTACTGAAGCAAACAACAGGCATGTCTTCATTTATCAGTGTAGCAAACAGTTCTGTCTCTGTACTACTCAGGTTTATTGCCCTTTTTATTGAGCAGGGACTTTTTGCATGAATTACGTTGTTTTCACATCTATGAACTTCTTTAGAGAAATAGATTTCTAATTTTTCAATGATGGTGAGATAACACCTGTCTGTCCAATGGGATTTATATTTGTTTATTGCCAACAGCCAGTTAGCTTAGCTTAGCATAACAGAAATGCTTAAAACACAGTAGCTGCTAGCCACCATCTATTTAATATATATCTCCATATGAGTATATATTTTGTAGCAAAAAGAGAGCCCTGGTTGTGCAAATAAGCACGCTTTGTTACTTTTGGACAGGGGCAGGTGAACTTAAAGTTATAGATAAAACCCCTGTTCTCTGATTTGCATAGTACAGGACAAATACAATTTTTTTTAAAAACTCCTTCTATGTTTGCAGCCTTTGTGATCACCTTAGCTAACCTTCAGCTAGATGTATGTAGCTATAAAATAATATGCAAATTGTAAATGACAACATTGTGTAGGACGCAGGTTTATTCTTTTCTGTTAACCTCATGAATTTTGGCCCAGAGTTCAGCTAGCAGGAAGTTGTTAGCATTAGGTATCTCTGTTTTAGAACAAAAGAAGCATATGACAGTGAACATTATTATTTATTTTATGTCTATAGGTGATGAGGTGATCGTTATCCAAGGCAAACTGGATGGAATAAAAACAAAATATGCTGAGATAAACTCTATGAGTGCCAGTGTTTTAAAGACACTGGAGCAGGTTTTGAGTCTGTCTTCTAAGCTGCAGCATACTCACACGGATCTGAGCTCATGGCTAGAGAAAGCAGAGGCTGAGATTAACAGCTTTGCTCATCAGGATCCAGTCGGCAAGCAGCTGATTCATTCACAAAGCAGGCAGAAGGTAAGGATTTCTACAACTTTGTGCAAAACGTAATTGTATTCATACAATGCAGCAATGCATTTATTACTGATGAACTGGTGCTTTCTGTCCAGGCCATGTTGAAAGAGATCAAAGACCAAAAACCAGTGTTGGACCAGCTGAATGAGTTGAGCAGTTCACTCTTGGATTTGATCCCCTGGCACACTCGTGAGAGTTTGGACAAACTTGTGTCTGAGGATAATGAGAGGTACAGAGCTGCCTATGACACTTTGACCCAGAAGGTCGACCAGATCAATGCTGACATACTCAAGTCACAACAGGTAAACCACATAACTTAACGCACTGCCTTTTATTCTCATTCGACTGTCTCTCTCTCTTTTTTAAATGTATCTCTTGTTTTTTCTTGTTTCCAGTTTGAACAGGCCGCAGACAATGAACTCTCCTGGCTGACTGACGCTGAGGGGAAACTGCTATCGATGGGTGAGATCAGGCTGGAGCAGGACCAAACCACAGCTCAGCTCCAAGCACAGAAGGTTAGCCGTGTGTGTGTGTGTGTGTGTGTGCGTACAGATCTCCATTTAAACAAATTAGAGTAAACACAGTGGTTTCTTTTGTTGACATGCAGCCAAACTCACTCTACTGGTTTTACAGATTTTCTCCATGGACATCATGAGACACAAAGATGCTGTAGATGAGATTGTGAAAACAGGAAAGGCCATCATGACCAGCAAAAACCCAGAGGAGAAAGAAATCTTAATGGTAAGAAAATATATTTCAAATTTCAGACATTTTTAAGTAAGAAAATGGACAGAAATTTCAAAATGATTCTTCTTGGGCTTCAATCAGGCCAAGACACAGACTCTCCTCGAGAAGTATGGTGTCGTCAGCCAGCTGAATTCAGAGCGTTGTCTGCAGCTTGAGCGAGCCCAGTCTCTTGCCACTCAGTTCTGGGAGACCTATGAGGAGCTGGGGCCATGGCTTCAGGAAACTTTAAACACCTTCAGCCAGTTACCCCCGCCTGCCATTGAGTACGACACGCTCAGGCAGCAACAAGAGGACCTCAGGGTAAGCGGCCAATGTGCGCTGATGCTCAACACAAAACATTTAGTCAAATGATTAAAAACTAAACTGAGCATGTCACATCCTCTCCAGCAAATGCGGGAACTGATTGCAGAGCACAAGCCCCATATTGATAAGATGAATAAAACTGGTCCTCAGTTACTTGAGCTCAGCCCAGTGGAGGGTGAGCCCATCAGAGAGAAATACACAGCTACTGACCAACTTTACACCAAACTGAAAGCTGATGTCAAGCAGAGAGCTGCCACTTTGGATGAAGCCATCTCCAAATCCACTCAGGTAAGCAGTAGCTGTTTATTATGATTATTTGATAATATATGATTATTGGAAATAATTAAGTTGATCATAGTGATGTCTGGTGCAAATGGTGGTCATAGTTTGCAAATGTAAACATCAAATTACCTTGGCTGTTAATTGTCTATTCAGTTAATTGAGTAGCTGTTAAATTTTTGAATATGTGCAAATTTGTCAAAGTAAAAAATAATTATACAGATGTGTTCTTGTTTCAAGGTAACTTTTCATAATAAAAACCCATGATATAAATTATATATGCAAACTGACATGTTTCCTTTCCTCCTTTTCCAGTTCCATGATAAAATTGATCCCATGCTCGAATCCCTGGAACGGATCGCTGAACGCCTCCACCAGCCTCCATCCATCTCAGTGGAGGTGGACAAGATCAAGGAGCAGATTACTGAAAATAAGACGGTCTCTGTGGATTTGGAGAAGCTGCAGCCATCTTATGAGACACTGAAGCAACGAGGTGAAGAGATGATTGCACGATCCGAAGGGGCAGACAAGGACCTGTCTGCCAAAGGTATGGTATAGATATGCTTTCAATCATTTTTTATCCATTTATTATTATTTATCAAACATCAAGCTTTTCTCCAGGTGCATGTAGCTTTAATGTATTTCCTTTTTCAGGATAAATAACGAATCAAGAAAAAGTCCAAGTTTCCTGCTGTAAATGTTGCTGTAAACGTGGAAGATTTTTCTTTGCCTTATTTTGTATTCCTCCTAATTGTGACTTTTTCTCTGTACAAGCTGTGCAAGACAAACTGGACCGCATGGTTTTCCTGTGGAACGACATCCAGGCATTGGTGGAAGAGCGGGAGGTGAAGCTGCTGGATGTGATGGACCTCGCAGACAAGTTCTGGTGTGACCACACCGCCCTCATCGTCACCATTAAGGACAGTCACGACCTGCTGAGGGAGCTGGAGGAGCCCGGAGTCGATCCTTCAGTCGTCAAACAGCAACAGGAATTTGTGGAGGTAAATAAAAAATTACTTTTGATCATTAGCAAATGGATAATTAAGAGAGGTGGTGCACTTTGATTATTAAATAACAAAAAAACAATGCATCCATACAGGGATTTAAGGAGGAGATTGATGGGCTGCAGGAGGAACTCGATGGGGTTCTAAACCAGGGTGCGGAGCTCATGACTGCCTGCGGGGAACCCGATAAACCTGTGATAAAGAAGAGCTTGGATGAAGTAATAGACTACACTGAAAAGCACTCACTCTACAGGTTTTGCCTACAAGATAATCATGCTAAAATATTTGCGTTATTTTTTCAGGTGAATACAGCATGGGAGAATCTCAATAAGACGTGGAAGGAGAGAGGAGAGAGACTGGAAGAAGCCATGCAAGCTGCTGTGCAGTTTCAAGATGGCCTGCAGGTGCTTTGATCACTGCCTCAGAGCAACACAATTAGAAAATTAAAGGGTTTAGAATATTTAAAATGTTTTTAAACAGCAGACCTTTTCCAAAACTTCCCAGTCACGGTTCTCGTGGTTTTTAATTTTATTTGATGTGATCTTTTGGAAGCCTAGGAGTAACCCTTGAAGCTCTTTTATTGACGTGGGGTTTCTCTCATATATCAGGCCTGGTTATAGAACAAAACACTGGGCATGCATCAGAAGTTAATAAGGGTTGTCTCTGCCTGTGTTGCTATCCTTGGAAAAACCTGGAAACTGTTCTAAGGGTCATCAAACCACATCTTTATTAATATATATATATAGAGGTGTCAGATTAAGAGGGAATATCATCTTTAAGGGGTAAATACTTAATATCAAGCAACACAATATACAAGCACTTGTTCATCACGAGATGTTTGATATTTAACAGATACAGTGAGCCAGGGAGTTTCCGAGGCCTTTTTTGATGAAACCACATATTACCATGCAGTTGATCTAACAGTTGATATAACATCTCATGAGAGCTCTACTAATTTTGAAAGACCAGCCAGAGCGTGGTCGTGATATATTTGGCTCAAACATTAACTAGTGTGTAAGAAAGTTTCACGGTGAGGAAGGATTCTTTTACACAAGTTTAAATCTCCTCTTTGCACTTCTTCAGTGCATTGGCATGTAACCTCAGGGCTTGTTTGGGGTTTTTTTCTTTTTCTTTGTGTATAATTTTCTAATTTATCAGCCAAACAGACCAACTGTAAGATTCAGGGCATAACTTGAAACTCAGTTTGAAACTTGACTCCCTGTGCACCCAGCTTTGTTCTCTCACTAACAATGGTTTCCAACCCTGTATGCAGGGTATGTTTGACTGGGTGGATATTCTGGAGAGCAAGCTGGATTCAATGTCACCTGTGGGCACGGATCTGGAAACCGTCAAGCAGCAGATTGTGGAACTCAAGGTACAGTCTTGTAGATTTGTTTTGTTTTTTTAGATCATCATTCACAAAAACAGAAATATTATTATTGTTATAGCTCTTCTCAGACTTTTCAATTCTTTTAACTTGACTCCTTGATGTTAGAGCAGCTGTGTCAAACACCAGCTGTGTTTATGCTGAGTTCTCGATTCATCGTCTGCTTTGTGTTAGTTCAAAAGCATTAAGAAAATGGCTTCATAAAGTAGCCGGATTTACTTTGATGTACAATAAGACAAATCTTGTCCTGAAAACACAAAGCTGGTATTGTCTGTGCGTCCTTCCTTCTGTTGACTGATTGGGTGTACCGCTGCATGTGCTGGGTTGCCAGGAGTTCAAAGGAGAAGCGTACCAGCTACAGATTGAGATGGAGCGTCTGAACCACCAGGCCGGCCTCCTGCTGAAGAAGGTGACAGACGAGGCTGACCGCTCCGCCATCCAGGAGCCGATGTCTGAACTCAAAATGCTTTGGGACAACCTGGATGAGAAGATCATCAGTCGGCAGGTCAGTGAGAGAAAGAAGCAGAAGGGGAGCTTCACACCAAAAGTGCAAGCTATATAAGAAAACAGAAATGCTGACACTGATATCTAAATTTAAAAGGAATGGCTATATTGTTTAGGTGGCAATATCATGTTTAAACAAGGTCTGCAATCATTCTGTGAAATATATTGTATCGTACCTCTACAGCTTCTTGTGGGCTAGAAACCAGACTCAGCAATGGCTTAAACAGTTTGTTTTCTCTCCCTGCAAAATTAAATGGTTTAATCTGTCATTAATCCAGCACAAACTGGAGGGAGGCCTTCTCGCACTGGGGCAGTTCCAGCATGCACTGGATGAGCTGCTGGCCTGGATGAGCCACACCGAGGAGCTGCTCAATGAACAGAAAAATGCTGGAGGAGACCCCAAAGCCATCGAGATAGAGCTTGCCAAGCACAACGTATGACAAACCTCTTATCTTGTGTTTTTTTTAGGGGGCTATTTTTCAAATAAGTCCTTTCAGTTCAGTTTAGTTCAATTTTATTTGTATAGCCCAGTATCACATACAAAAATGTAAAACACTTCACAGGCATTAAAACCATATTAAGTAAACATTTATGGTATCTGTCAGTGTGCCGTTTATTACAGTAAATTAGTCATTATCCACTTTGTGCTTAATATCCATCTGCACAACATCTTGCCGTTCCTGCTGATTTATCTCTGCAGATCCTCCAGATAGATGTGTTGGCTCACAAGTCAACAGTCGAGACAGTGAATAAAGCCGGCAATGATCTGGTGCAGTCCAGCGCTGGAGAGGAAGCTTCTAGTCTGCAGAGCAAACTGGAGAATCTGAACCAGCGATGGAAAGCCATCCTGGAAAAGACGGAGCAGAGGAAGCAACAGCTGGAAAGCTCTCTGCTTCAGGTATATCAAAAAAAGTTAACCGTTAACCTGTGTCTCATTTCTTGTTAAATTGTGGAGAAAATAGTTTTTAGGTCGAAGTCAAAAAGCTCTGCAGGGAGGAGAGACTTCTCTCCCTACCCCCTTCTTATTATTCAATTTGCATCCTGAAAGCTAAATCATTCTATTGTTTTTACTTTAAGGTTTTAATTTATTATGAAACAGGCTTATAAATACCGAGCTAAATGAATCCAAAGAATTAAAAACTCACACATCCTCCTCTCTGAATCACGGGTTGCTAATAGCGAGTGTGTGAGGCACCTTTTGTCCTGACTCAGGTTGAATTGTGTTGCAGGCTCAGGGTTTCCATGGTGAGATAGAAGACATGCAGCAGTGGCTGAAAGACACAGAACGTCAGCTGTTGGCATCAAAGGCTGTGGGAGGCTTACCAGACACGGCCCGGGAGCAGCTTAACGCCCATCTGGTATGTGTTTAACAATATGAGAGGCTGCATACAGATGGCAGACTTGGGAGGAGGTGACTGTCTTTTCTGTGTTTTATCTGAAGTGTGAAAATTAAACGACGCTACAAAATACACTACTCTCATTGCCCTGCAGGCTGTGATAAAAAAGACCTCTTTAAGTGTTTCTAATTGATTCATCCGTATCTGACTATAATGAATTAAGGAATGTTTTCCTGCTTTGTCTTCCTACTTTGTAATGGAGACACTTTCACAGTGAGCTCTCCCTTAAGAGGCAGCAGTGGTGACAGTTCAGGGAACTGAAAACAGACAGATTACTTTTATCAAATTAGTAACATTATCCTGGTCAAATGTTTGTGAGAAACATGCCTCACCATGCTCATTCTTTAACCATTTTTGGGTTACATTTGGACTAGCGACTGACAAATTCATCCCATTGAACACTGCAGAAATCCAAAAGTAACAATAGATCGGTCTTTAACTGTAATTCAACCTGTTTGACAAAACCATCACTCTCCTCTGTGTTGTTGGTTTTTTTTCCTCACAGGAGTTGTGTTCTGCCTTTGAGTCAAAAGAGGAGCTGTATCAGGAGCTCCAGAACAAAGGTCACCAACTGCTAACGATGATGCCCGAGGGTCCAGACAGTAACACGGAGCAGGACCTCGCCAACCTGAAGGAAAAATGGGAAGCAGTGCAAGCGAAGGTCGCTGAAAGAAAGGTAGGGGAATGACTGAATGGCTTTCACTGCCCTTAGCTTGATGACTCAGGATTTCAGATTAAGGGATCGCTGACACACACTTGAGCCATGACCGTGTGGTTGAAAGCTTCTAATCCCAGTGCCGATAACCAATGGTGTAAAGACAGAGCGCTGGCGAGGACACACAGGATGCGGTTACACTGTAGATCAGAGTGGAACAACAGTGGTGTCATATGTTTCCACAGTGTAGGGTTGACAAAACATCAGCTAATATTTAAGCCAAATGTCATCATTCACTTGTGGGTTTTTTTTTTAGTTTTGTTGCTAAAATGTATAAAACACCACCACTGCTCTCAGATATGGTGCTCCTTATTTTAGCCGCTTCAACTTTTACTGTAACATCTTGCTTTTGCATCCTATTTACTTTGGCCTTCTTCCCAGGAAATCAAAGTCTGGTAAATTTTAGCGCTGGTCAGAGCTGCTGGCCAAACTCTCTACAGCCTTCCCTGTGATACCTCTGCAGTCAAGTGGCTTATTTTTCTGTAGGACGTATGCACTGCTACAATACAATTCCATATTTAGCAAGACACTCGACATGACCCACGATAAATGGGAAAAACACATCAGCAGCCATAACTCTCACCAGGTTTGTAATGTCATTAGCACAGCATTTACTGCCATGTGATGACCCTGAGCCACCGGCCTCAGCTGTACCAAACGGATGTTTTTCAGTGATGGAGTGGCTGTTTCCTTTACTCAATTAAAACCTCATGATGCCTCAGCCATCAGTCCCCTCCAGAGATATTAACTTCCTCTCTTTAGATAGAGGTCATGTTTGGCACTGTTGAAGTGCAATTGTATCCCCCGCAGTGCCCTCTTTATCTGTTGCTATAACAACCAGAGATACTTTACACCGCTAAACGATGCACATGTGTTATAAACAGGATAGAGCTCTTTGATTTTTGTCCAGTATTACTTCAGTTTTTTTAACGTTTCGTCTCCACAGGTGAAACTAGAAGAAGCTTTGACTGTGGCTACAGATTTCCACAACTCCCTGCAAGATTTCATCAACTGGCTAACCCAAGCAGAGCAGACGCTGAACACGGTTTCCCCCGCTTCCCTCATACTGGAGACCATCATGTTTCAGATAGATGAGCATAAGGTACGTCTTTGCACATGGAGGACAGGCCTTCTGGTCCAACTTTGCTTGATTACTAGACATTACTGCGGTAACATCTAGTAGTCTTACTGAGTCGGTGAGAAATTAAAATTATTAGTACCATGATTACCGGTTCATGATTACCAGCTCATCATTCTGCTTTGTCTTAAAGCCAACGATGACTTAATGGCATCTGTATTATCCTTGAGAACAGAGCTCATTAGCACATTACCCACATTACATTTCCTCTGCTGTCTGTTGAAAAACCTTTATTCCTTTTTTATTGTTAGAACATCTGGCCTGAATCCTTTCCCTTTTCTCCCTCGCATTGTGTCTGTGCAGATGTTTGTGACAGAGGTAAACTCCCACAGAGAACACATTATTGAACTGGACAAGACGGGCACACATCTGAAGTACTTCAGCCAGAAACAGGATGTGGTCCTGATAAAGAACCTGCTGCTCAGCGTGCAAGGGCGCTGGGAGAAGCTGGTGCAGAGGTCTGTTGAGCGGGGTCGTCTACTGGACGACGCCAGGAAGAGGGCGAAGCAGGTACTGTTCTGTGAAAATTTATGCTGAGTTTGAATAGGCATGACATCAGGACTTTTTATTATCATTGGAAAGCTCTGGAAATAGGATATTAAACCTGTTTCTTATTCTTTCTTCAGCCTATTACAGAACTTTCTGAATTATAGGGCCCTTCTGCTCCAATCATGCTAACATTAAGCAGGGCTCTGCGATAAATCTAGTGAACTCATACCTGTTTTTAAAATGCTTTACACTGTTTTTTGTTCTTAATTTTTTATTAGTTCCATGAAAATTTCAATAAACTGATGGAGTGGTTAGATGAATCTGAGAAGACTCTGGACTCTGAAGTGGAAATTGCCAATGATCCCGATAAAATCAAGACGCAGCTGGCACAGCACAAGGTAACTGAGAGAAAAATGTGTTAACACAGCCAGAGACATGGAGCAACATCTACAAAAAAAAGTTTCATTCATTAAACAGAAATATCTGATGTACCAGAGCTGGAATTTAAAAATAGGATCTGTTATTTGAAATTACAGAGTCAGTAGAATCCAAATGCTTATATTGCTGTTGACTATTGTTGTGTTTGTGGTGTTATGCTGGGAGATTGTGCTAATCCTGTCATAATCCCTGAATGGACCAAATGTTTTAAGGCTGCCCTTGCTTTTGGATACATTTAATCTCTACGGAGCAAGAGCTCTTGAGTTTTGACCTCCTTTTTGGTCACCTCGCTGAAGACTGTATTCTTAATCACAAAAAGCACACACCACACGCAGATTAAGATACTGTTTGACATGCCAGTAGTAATAATAAAAAAATCTCTTGAGACGATTTGCTGTTTCCATTTGAAGATAGAGGCATTATGAGTGCACTAAACTGGACCACTTGGGGGTTGTGTATATTATTTTTGCTTTTTTCCCCATCGTGCAGGAGTTCCAGAAAGCTCTTGGCAGCAAACACTCTGTGTATGATACTACCACTCGAACAGGACGGGCCCTGAAAGACAAGACCTCTCTACAGGATGACAGACAGAAGCTGGACGACATGTTGAGTGAACTGAGGGACAAATGGGACACTGTTTGTGGGAAGTCAGTGGAAAGGTGAGGATTTTCTCCCAATGAGCGCTGTATTTCATTCTGCTAAACAGCCTCACTGTGAATATTTTGTTCTGTTCTGCAGACAAAACAAGCTGGAAGAGGCCTTGTTGTTCTCCGGCCAGTTTACAGATGCTCTCCAGGCTCTTATTGACTGGTTGTACAGGGTGGAACCTCAGCTGGCTGAGGACCAGCCCGTACATGGAGACATAGACCTGGTTCTCAACCTGATAGACAACCACAAGGTAGAGAACAGCTCCGCACCGAAGACCCAGGATCCCTTTCTGTTGTTGATTGGCCCATTTGTTGCTGACGTTAGTGGCAAAAATCAAGTGAAACCTTTCACTGCTGCCACACCCAAACCTTTTATCATTCCTAACACAATACAAGACGAAAGAATCTTAAACTAACACGGGGGATAGACAATACATTAAAACAACAAAAGGGGAGGCATTGTATTACTTTCTCATTGAGGGTTGTGTATTGAGCAAAGCTTTGAAAATTGATGCTGGTGTGTTTTTCCTTACTCATTATTAATATTATATTAATAACATTCTTCGTGTTAGCATTTTATTGAAGTAAGAAGACAACAGATACTAAAAGCTCCTTGTTTTATGCTTCTTGTCATTGGGCCAGCTGTGAAATAGAGACAAAAAGGATGTTTTTTGAAATAATCTTAAATAATTAATTTAAGAATTTGTCATTTAAAAACGGAATATTGTTAATATTTTGGCTGACTGTGTCCTCAAATGTCTCGTTACTGCAGGTTTTTCAGAAGGAGTTGGGAAAGCGGACAGTAAGCGTCCAGGCCCTCAAACGTTCAGCCAGGGAGCTGATTGAGAACACTCACGATGACTCCTCCTGGGTCAAAGTCCAGATGCAGGAGCTGAGCACGCGCTGGGAGACGGTGTGCAACCTGTCTGTGTCTAAGCAGACCCGGCTGGAGCAGGCTTTGGGCCAGGTATTCCTGACAGTACTCCAAACAATCACAAGGTAGAAGGTCAGTTAAGTATGTTAGCCTGACATATGCGTCTTCTCCCACTGCAGGCTGAAGAATTTCACTCTGCTGTTCACATCCTGCTGGAGTGGCTAGCTGAGGCAGAGCAAAGTTTGCGCTTCCATGGCAGCTTGCCCGACGATGAAGAAGCGCTGCGAGCGCTCATCGAACAACACAAGGTAAAGCAATGCAAACGATTTTTTTTTTTTTATTTCAGAAAAAAACTTTTATGTCTTAAGTTGTTTCACATTTTTGTTGCTTTATTAAAGAAATAAAACACGTTGCCAATACTTTGCTTGAATAAACAGTTAAGATCCTGACTCTGGCATGCTGCTTTCAGTGCCAAAAATATTTTTCTTAACTATGAGGTCATCTGATTAAAATTACTGAGCTCTGCTCCAGTTTCAAACCAAGTATGAGCAATGTTTTGTTTTTATTTTTAGATATGGGATGGGATAGTTCCAAATCCCAACGCTTTTTCAACTTAAATTTTTTATTTTATTTTAAAGGTGTTCATGAAAAAACTGGAAGAAAAGCGAGTGGCTCTAAATAAAGCGGCCAGTATGGGGGAGGCCATTCTCAGCATCTGCCATCCAGACTCTATCACAACCATCAAGCACTGGAACACCATCATTAAAGCCCGCTTTGAAGAGGTCAGTCCACTGTTTCATACCTTCAGGTTTAACAGAACACATTAACCTATTTTGATAAATTAAAATAAGGAAGAATTACTCATTTTAACAAGGGTTGGGTCGGAAACTCTTTATAGCACTCAAAAAATCAGAGGAAAAGTTACTATGGATAGTCATTATATTAAAAAAAGTAATAATGATTCATCTTAGCAGGTAAACAAAATCAAGCTGTGTGCAGTTAACTTGATTTCAGTGTATCTGAAATGAATTTAGTTATTAGTAATATATGTGTAATACTGCTGTTACACAGGTGCAGGCTTGGGCCAGACAGCACCAGCAGCGACTGGCCACAGCCCTCACAGAGCTACTAGCTACTCAGGAGCTGCTGGAAAATCTTCTGACATGGCTACAGTGGGCTGAGACCAACCTCAATGACAAGGATAAGGAGCCACTCCCTCAGGAGATCGAGGAGGTCAAAAACCTCATAGCAGAACACCAGGTACATCAAAAAAGCAAATGAGAATAAATCAAATTTTATAACTTTAGTTTTTTTAAAATTCCATATTTTAATGATTGCGTGGGCATTCAGTTAACAGTAGTTTACTGCTGCTCGCCCCCTGCAGGCATTCATGGAGGAAATGACCAGGAAGCAACCAGATGTTGACAAAATCACCAAGACACACAAAAGGAAGGCTGCTGCGGAGCCTCAGATCCAGTCTCAGATCCCCGTGTTGGACAAAGGAAGAACTGGAAGTATGTATCCCATCAATGTTCCTCATAGAGTATGACCCGAGCCATCTGGCTATGCGCTGAATCACTTCAGGGTGACACGACATCCTCAATTTGCCCATTTTAGCACCTGGAATGATGTCAGTGTGAATGCATTCCTCCTGATTATATGGTGGAAACACAGTCATTTTAAAGTTTTTTGTCTTTCCCTTACAGGAAAACGTTCTCCCACGCAAGCGATGTATGCGTCATCAACACAAGCTCCCATTGAAACAAAGAACCCACGGGTTAACCTGCTGGTGACCAAGTGGCAGCACGTGTGGCTGCTGGCTTTGGACAGAAGGAGGAAACTCAATGATGCTTTGGACAGACTGGAGGAGGTAATGTAGCAAAATCTGCAGACATTTTTCTGCAAATTTCTAGCTTTTTAGTTATTAATGTTGACCTTTCTTTCTTTATCTGCTCAGCTGAAAGAATTTGCCAACTTTGACTTTGATGTGTGGCGGAAACGTTACATGCGCTGGATGAACCATAAAAAGTCTCGCGTCATGGACTTCTTCCGCCGCATTGACAAAGACCAAGACGGCAAAGTGACACGACAGGAGTTCATAGAAGGCATCCTCTCCTCCAGTAAGTGTCAGAGTCAAAGCTGAAAAACATCTACACCGCTGAACAAAATGCTCCTTTTTGCAACACTCAGTGTCTCTTCAACAGAATTCCCAACAAGTCGTCTGGAGATGAGCGCCGTGGCAGACATCTTTGACAGAGACGGTGACGGCTACATTGACTACTACGAGTTTGTAGCAGCTCTGCATCCCAACAAAGACGCTTACAAACCACTAACAGATGCTGACAAAATTGAGGACGAGGTAATAAGCCTGCGGCATTAATTTCACATTTTCAAATGTGAGGCGTCGCTTAATAAAAAAAATGATGCTTTCGCAGGTCACGCGCCAAGTGGCGAAGTGCAAATGTCCAAAACGATTCCAGGTGGAGCAAATTGGTGCCAATAAATACCGGGTAAGCAGATTTTTATGTGTTTGGCTTATCTAACAGTGAAATTTTTTTAAGCAATACAAGCTGTGACATGGTTATGAAATAATTTAAAATAAAAGACTTTTCAGGGAATACTCTTGTTAAAGGTAAGTGTTGAACTTGATGACAAAAGTGCGAATGTGTGCTAACCTTTTTATATTTTTTATTGTTCCTCACATCACCAGTTCTACCTTGGAAATCAGGTACATCCTCTTTTCTTTCCCTCCTACACTCTTGTGTGCCTTATCGAGCCTTGCGTCCTTTTTTCGTTTACCACGTTTGCTGTCCAATTAACACTTTCTGCCCAGATTCCTGGCTGATGTTCTCAGATGTTCTGGAACTCAGAAGTAGAAATAAAACAAGTCTATGGCCCGCTGATTTAATCTAACTTTATTTAATACTGGCCTGAGATGTGTGTTTGGTCCGAGAATTTATGGTAGCTTCACACATAACTCTAAATCTGATTTAAAATGAGTAAATGAAAGAAGCATGCTTTCAAGTTTTATGGCAGTCGACGTTTATGTCCAATCTAAATTTGTTCTTTTCACATAGGTTATGTTTTTTTGGGGAAAATAAGACTTATTTGTGTTATAATTAGTGCAGTTAATGTTTATATATATCTGTATATCTGCTTTTGAGTTTCAGAAAATGCAATATTGGCGTGCCAGTACCATTTCAGCCCATATTTTACTGGTTCATGGGCATAAATTCATCTGCTGGGCATACAATAATGCTTTCTGTGTGCTTGCCTTTGGTGCTTCAGTGTCATGGGAATGATTTACCTCAGCACTGGCTGACACTATTTATTACATTATTTGGGCAACTTTGATGATTTCAATGAACACGTTGCTTTTCATTTCTCTTACTTTGTTAATATGTGCTGGCAACCTGCATGTCGGAAAAAGGTCATTACTGAGGGGTCAGTGTGAGGGGATAGGGGCGTTAGTGATGCTTTATGAACTAGTTTGTATTATTGTTATCACACAACAATAAATTAAAAATAATTCTTTTGACAGTTTGGTCTGGTTCACTGCTTACATGACTCCTTAATCGGCGATGAGACAATAGCAAACAGGGAAAATCAAAATCTTACCCCCCACCTACACGTTGCAGTTTTGGAAAGCTGTATTCTGGTAAATGGTTATTCTTAAGCTGTTTCTTGTGCCTCCTTTTACTCCAGATCATCATCACCTTTAATGTATTTGATCACTAGACTCACCAGTGGCATTAAATCATTATGATAATCATACAAGCACAGGATTTTTGTTATCAGTTAAAGAGATACCATATGATAATAGGAAGTTAGTGGACCGTCATCAGTGTTTGGTCATGTCTGCGTGTCACACTGTGGTGGTGGATTTAGACAGAAGTGATTTGAACCATTCCTCATGTGTGCCATTTGGAGCTAGCTGCATTGGATCTGCATCAGTGTCAATGCATCCTGAGTATTTGTAGCTGTAGAAAGTGCAACAAAGTGCTGGATTGTAGGAGATTGATGTTTGTGCGTTTGATCAGAATGTGATGTTGATTTTGACAGAAAGCATGCACGCTGTAATTGCAAACTTCATTTTTGTGCCTGATGCTCATGTCTCATCCAACTGGCTGACATGTGTGGTATCCCCTCATAAAGCTTGAATCATTCTCCCCATAACATGCTCACTGTTCCTATGTCTGCTATGTGTGGTAGGTGACATGAAGTCAAATTATTACACACTGGGGCCCCCTGGTGGTGTAATCATGTGCCTTCAGTTATGGTGTTTTTTTTCTTCACAGGCTCCTTCTGCAGTAAAAGTGGAGTCTTACATTGCTGAGATAAAGCCAGACACATAGACATTACAACCAGAAACCACAATTACACAGTGATCACTGAAATAAGAGAGAAAAAATAGGCTGGTTAAGTTTGTAAAGCCGTAAAGTTTGATGTATTTACTGCTTTACAACCTCTCATATTAAGTTAACCCTCAACAGCAGCAGGTATGAATGTAGAGCCTGACTGATGATATGGCTTTGAGGCTGATTCTGATAGCTCTAATTAAAAATACAAATGAAATTATATGATTAAAGGAAAAAAGTTATTTGCTAATCTGTCAGTATCAGCATTTATTGGGATTGATAAATGAAAATTAAAAAGTAAAAAAGAGACGGGAGAAATAACCATTCAACCATGTTATGAGTGTTGATGTGTGTCCACCAGAGGGCGCTCTGAAAACATTCTGAGCAGAGGTGGGCATGTAAATAAATAACTTCACATAACCAATGTGAGGTTTTTTTGTGCATGACAGAGAAAAATATATTGGTCATTGGAATATCATTGGTACGGGTATCAGTAAAAATCATTTGGGCTTCACAAAATTCAGCTCTTTTTGAACGTTATGTTGTGTAATTTTTTTATTGTCTTATTTACACAGATACCAATATCCTGTATGTGATATCTGAAGTAAATGAATATCAACTAACAAAATCAGTCAGGCTCTACTTCAAATTGTAGCGTATAGTAAATGAATCAATGACTATGAAGTAGTCAGTTCACTGTAGCATGAACTCAATGAGTAAGTAGAACTAGTAGCTAGAACTAGTAAAACAATAGCACACGCTTGTAGAAAAAAAAGTTGGATTGACCTTTGTGTAATTTGTGTTCTGTTGTGTCTGAGAATGAAAAGATAAAATTCATGTTTTTGTGTCAAAATCTGTTTGTGTTTATGATTGTATGTCTTCGTGTGTGTTTAAACCTGTACAACATATAAGAGAAACCAGAAGCAGATGTGAATCTTTTCCGACAGGTCGTTTTTGAAGCTCAGTGAAATAATCTAGATGAAAGCCGTCTGTTCCCCCACAATTAAAATAATTAGCTGGAATAAATGTAACTCTTCATTCCACTCTGGTTTCCAGTGTTGCACAGCTTCTGGTCTGCAGTGTGGGTGTGCTCACAGGAAGGTCAGGTTTTTCACACATTCCCCTCTCTATTTTCCTTCCCCCATCGCAGTTTGGAGACTCTCAGCAGCTTCGCCTTGTGAGAATTTTGCGCAGCACTGTGATGGTGCGGGTGGGAGGAGGCTGGATGGCACTGGACGAGTTTCTGGTGAAGAATGACCCCTGTCGAGGTGAGTTCAAAGGTTAACTTTGAGGAGTCACAATCCAATTTTGTTTAAAGGTCAGGTGTTGTACTGACTTTCACTTTCTTTGTTCGCGTGTGATGAAAGAATTTGATTGTATATCACTGTTTTTTACTACCCAAACATGATGATGATGATCTTGATTAAGATTATTGTGTATTCAGTGATGTTAGCTCAGTTATTGAAACATGAAATGTAACTACTGTCCAATGTCTATTTATATAGGCCTGTTTGAAATGTCAACTTGGAGCTTAAAAATAGAAGATATATCATATATATCGATAATTCATGCAATATATTATATTATATCTTTACATAATATACTGCAATTTTCTGAGGGTTAAAATGAGTTTATTTTCTTTTGTTCCCGCTATCTTAACACTGAACGCTTGAATGAGATAACACAGTTAAATCATCTGTTAAAAATATATTTCATTTGTAAGCATATTTTTATTAACAGTGCTGCCTACATATATACTTATATATACCGTAATGTGACCCACATTTAGCTTTGGTACTCCGACATGTTTCTGCTAGCGTCTGTATTAATGATCAATTTCTGTTTTTCCCACTAAACCCGCCTCCTGCTCAACATGAACATTTCTTCTAGTGCATCACCACGGGAGCAAAATGTTGCGCTCGGAATCAAACTCTTCAATTACTCAGTCTCCTATAGGTTGGCAAATCTCAAACTTTCTCACCTTGCTCCATGAACCCACCAGTGGTATGTGTGTCTGCACATCCGAGCTTGTGTTGGTCCTGGTGTGTGCCGTACTGTAGCTGCGTGTGAGCGCTCAGTGTGAAAGAATGTCATCCTCGGAAACCGGCTCCACCTGCAGTCAGCTGTCGTTCAGCTGTGGCTGGTTTTCATGCATGCAGTTGTTTGTGGGAATCACATCACCTTCGATCACTTCAGCACAATGAAACTGGCTCATTTTACCCGCGCCGCATGTCATAGGGAGCTCTGAGTCAAGCTTCTTTTTACAGTCCAGGGTTCGAGCGCTGCTTATCTGACTGTATTGCCTGGTAATATAGGCTCCTTCATAGGGGAAAATGGTTACATTGCCTCTATGAAACACACGCCACAAAACCGAAGCAGTATTTCTTACACCATTGACTTTGTTTGACAGGGTAGCTTAGTGTTTAAAACTGCATGCAGGTCTGTTTGTTTTCAATGTAACCGTACTGTTTAGTTTATACACTGTAGTTTAGTTTCCTATAATTCTTCTTCTTTGGTTTTTGAGAGTGTTTAGGCTCACTTTGATTTATTTTAGTTTTCTCGCTGTCACTTATTCCACTACCGTTGCAACAGGAACTGGACGTCTGTTCAACAGTATGGATGAGATATGAAACTGCATGAGCTGTTTTGTTGTTGAGTCACATCATGATAACATTTCATTGGTCTGTTCTTTGGGGTTGCCTGGAAATTGCTGTGTAGTTCAGTGATGATTATAAGAAAAATTAGAAGCAACAGATTTCTACACAGCCGGGAATACAGCTTAGCATGCAGTGTTGTGCACGACAAGACATGCACAAGTCTGGAGCCACCCCTCATTTCTTTATATTTTGCATCGAAGGATCCAGAATGTTTGGTAAATTTTTGAAAGTGGTCTTGAGCAATAGTTCTTCTGGCTTTCTGGAGGTCTTTCAAAATGTTTCTTTGGACATTGGCTGCTTTTTCACTCATTTTTATTCTGGTTCTTGCACCTGACCAGCATCAGAGGAATGCTTTTTGTTTGTTAAGATGAATAACACCGTCCTGTGAATCATTAAAGCATAAATCAAGACACTTTACACAACAGACAATCTAGCAAAGAACCAGTTTTAAATGGTATATTTATGTACTTGGTTACTAAGAGCCTGTTGCAAAAACTCATGTGGCTGTCAGGACGCAATTTTTAAGAATAGGAAACAGAGAAGAGACTGATGCGCACCAAATTAGGCAAGAACTGTACTGAAAATAAGTGGCAACATGTCTTAAGGAGTGATAAATTCAAATTTGAAATTTTTGGTTCAAATAGTGATCAATATGTACTGAAGAAGTCAGGACAGACACAGCAGTAAGTGTCTGCAGCAATCTGTAAATCTCAGTGGGGTTCTGTCGTGGTTTGGAGCTTCATTCAGTCAGTGGTGTCGGGGATCTTGTCAAAATTGTTGGAATCATGAACAGAAAAAACTACCATTAGATTTGGATCCACATACAATACCATCTGGAGAGGATCTGACTGACAACAGCGTCATTTAACAGGATGACAGTGATCCTGAGCTCATAGTGAAACACTGTCTGTCATGGATTGGGCTCCCTTGAGCCTGAAGCTCAACATTAGCCGTGTGCAACAAAATGCAGCCAACATCTAAAAAAGAAATTTGAATATCCTTCAGTAAGATTGGAGAACTATTCCTGAAGACTACTAAGTATCAGAAACTATAAGAAGCCTTTCATAAGAGAGTTCAAACTGTGCTGAAGAATAAAAGCTCATTAGAATTGTTCAGACTTCGCCTCATATACTGTTTTCCCATTTACTCTCAGTCTGCATGTTTTAATAAATCTCGGCATCTCTTTCCCATTTTTCTGGCACAATATAAAGAAATGAGGGGATGGGTTGTTAACTCACCATCATCTTAATCACCATTAACACAAAAATAACAGTGACAGGTGTATTTGTGCATCATGGCTCATTTTGAGTGTCTTTCTTAGCTAAGGGCAGGACCAATGTGGAGCTGCGAGAGAAGTTCATCCTCCCAGAGGGAACCACTCAAGTGATGGCAAGCTTCCGCTACAGAGGCCGGAGGTCTCGGCCTTCATCTCGAGGAGCTTCTCCCAACAGATCCACCTCCAGTCAGAGCCTCCCCGTCCCCACCAACCCAGCAGCGACCAGCACACCCAAGGTGAGAGGCTACACCTGCCATTAGAGCTGGCTGCTGCCTCATTCTGTCTCACCCCCAACCTCTCCACCACCATCATGATTTTCCTCTCATTTATCTGCTTTTTAATTTGTTTTTGTTTTTTTTTAATTACCCTTGCAGAATTTGGTCATTTTGTTGTTTGATTTCTGTGTTTCTTCCATCTAGTGTTCCTGGTAGTTTTTGAGTTTGTGAATCCATATCTCTGTCTTTTGATTTGCCATTGTTCCCCAGAATCCCCAACACATAACCCGCAATTATGATAAGCCATGGCTTACAAACAGCAAACCCTCCACTCCTCTTAAATCATCAGACTCCTTTGGGAGCCAAGGTTCATCCTCAGAGGTATAGTCATAATGCAGCACATGATGTGAAACACTTCAGATATATGACCCAACTGAAATCTATTGAAAAATCTTAAATTGGATGGAAATGAAAATAATAAGATGCAAAATGAGCTTATTAGATTTTATTTGGGTTTGTAACCTTTATTTTTCTTGAATAATTGGCTCAATCACTAGCTCTTTTCTTTCCTAACCTTTTATTTTCTTTATACCACTACATCATGTACAACTTCATATGTCGCCTCTGCATGTCATTAATGTCTAATGACGTATTGCTCTGCTGTACATGAATTCATACTAACTGCATCTGACAGATACACCTCAGTTATGGGAAAAATTATGATTTTACTAAAATGTTTCTTTTTTTTAAAAATAAAAATTCAAACTAATTTTTATTACATATACATACATACACTATTACATATACAGACTCAAGACTTTTATTTTTAAAAATTTGGTCTCCTATTTTTTTTTTTTTACTAATAACTGCATCTGATTACATTTTAATAAAAGTTTTTTTCTTTCGCAGAGTAATCCGGTTCAAGGCAGCAAATTGCGTTTGCCTGGGTACCTGTCCGGCAAAGGATTTCAGTCAGGTGAAGAAGGAAGCTTGATCAGTGCTGCTGTACTAAAAGCTCGAACGCAGACAATAGGTGGTGAGTAGAAAGCATTATCTTTGCAACTTTTTCTCCACATCTATCCATCGCATTCACATCTAAATTTGAATTCCTTTTTCAGTGTTTCTTAAAGTGTTTCCCGATTTTATCTCTCTAGAATCGAGAAAAAATTCCAGCCGACCAGGAAGTAAAGCCGGAAGCAGAGGAAGCAGTCGCAGAGGAAGTGATGCCTCCGACTTTGACATCTCAGACATCCAATCCGTGTGCTCAGATGTTTCCGAGACGGTCGGCGACTCTGCCAGAGCGACGCCGCGCTCCGCATCCCGTCAGCACGGAGGGAAACCCTCTAAGATCCCCACACCTCAAAGAAGAATGACCCCTACAAGCAAACTGGCCAAGGGATTGAAGCGATAGACAGTGGCCTTGAAAACAAACAAACAACCAACCCAGGAGCTATTTGCACCCTAAACACATAATGGACACTGGAGATGTGTAACTTAAAGAAAAAAAAAGTAAAAAAGACTGCAAATGTGTCACGTGTTATTTAAATTCTTGCAAAGATGTAAAATATTCTGTTAAGAGGCAATATGGTTTAATATTTTGTGAGAATGGAAAGTCAATGGCCTTGTGTATTTGTTTTTAATGTATTTTATTTTTTGTGAAAATATGTCAAATTGTTTTTATTGTACTTTATTTTTATTTATGCAAATCCTGAAGAGGATTGATGAACACTAGAAAATCTGGGAATGATCAAGCCGAACTAACATTTCTACACTAATGAAGGGCAAAGATGCAGGATAGTGCTCTAAGAGTTACTGAATGTACTATTATTTATGTATGCTTTTGTTTGGAGTAGATGGTGCATTATGGTACCGTTTGACACACTGCGATTATCTATTTAAGTGCTATGTTATACTGCCAACATGCATTTAAAGGGCAATGCAATATATTACAATAAACCCCACTAAGCACTGCAGAAGCCTTCAAAAACCCCTATTTAAGACAAGTAGCAAAAACCTCGTAACCATGATGCTTTTATGTACCCGTTTGTCAGCAGCTGCAGCCCGTCTTTTGTTTAACCACCTCACAGCAAATGAGTACTCTGACCTCGAAGAGGTACCACTTCATGTAGACATTCTCTGTGCATCCATGTCAATGTATGGTTAATTTCGGTAGAGCTGAAATTGTTACTGTAACATTACTTTGTAATAAACCTGCTTGCAGAAAGCCACCAGAGACTGGTGTGCACCACAGAATCGCCTCTGTCTCCTCTGTCATTTTTAGCTGCATGGGCAACTTCACAATGGCCCTGTAGCTCTGATGTTGGTCACACCACCAGCCAATCTCTCAATAGCTGTCTGAAAGATTTCCCTGAATAGGCTCCGGCTTCCCCGCAACCTTGATTTGGATAAGTGAAAGAGACTGGATGGATATTTCTCGTCATCTCTGTTTGTCTGTCAGTTTTTTTTTTTACATAAGCTGGAAAACTTGGGAAATGGGAACTTGTTTTATTAAGCAAAATTTCAAACCAGTTTATGTTGTGTTTTTTTTTCTCCATGTGTTGCCGGTATTATTGTATGCAGTATAATTCAGCAGTGTTTAGGTGCAGTGGCGGGTTAGATTGAAGGTGTGATCTTTTCTACATGGAATGTTTGCAGAGTGTCTTGTGTTTAGCTGTGACATACTGCATCTTTCTCTCAGAGAAATAGATTTTCCGAAGGCAAATCACTAAATGCAACTAGTTTTTAGCATAACTGATCAAAATGTTGATCAAAGTTCAAGGACAGGATTAGTTTCCAACACTGAAGCATCATTTCAGTAGTTTTAACTTGCATAAAGTATGCCTGCACTTCTTCAATGTGGTGACGCAGGGCTGTTTAGTCGTCTTAGGTCTGGCTGGCGTATGAGAAGAGAAGGATCCTCTGGGGACCAAAGGTGGAGTGGAGCTCAGGGGTTCTCAGGGATCCTGTGATTGAATGATCCTCCTGCTCAGCTCAAACATCGGCCCTGTGATGGCACTTTAGAACGGTTTAAATCCACACACCAGAAACTGGGAAAGATCCATCAACGGGAACTCCCAGAAGTTTCAGAGGACTATGTAAGTAATTCTAATATTCCATACAGTTTTCTTAACTTTTACATTTAATACAACTTAAGGAGGTAGCAGGCACGTTTTAAAAGCAATAAATGATATCAGGTTGTTGAGCTGAGGACAATTTAATTGGATCAGTTACACATGTTATCTAGTTTTGTAATCATAGCATAGGTAATAATTTAGGTGCTTAAACTGCACATCATTTGCGTAGGCAAAGCTGTGACTACAGCTCATACTGAAGATAATCTTGCAATAAAACATAGTCAGAAAAATGCTTTCTTATTGGTATTATTATTACTCTTAGTTTCCTTCTATTCTTTCAATATCTTTAACCTTTGTGCATGGGTAGGGAGTACTTTTGGAAGACATCGGAGGGTTTCACAAAGCCTATATTAACATAGTGTGCGACTTGATCTCTTAGAATTATTGGTTTGTTTAATTGCTGTATTACAGGCACTTATAATCCCAGACATCAAAAAACTGAAAATGCCAGCTCAGAAAAATATGCTGGTGTTTGTGGCTCTCTTTTCTCTTTTGCGACTGGCCCAGTGTCAAAAGTTGCCAAGTAAGTTTACATTTTTTAAATGTGTAACCTCATATTACTGCCTATTTTCGAATGTATAAAAATAACAAGTTATTATGCATCATAACCAAATGTAGACAGGTGTTGGTTGATTGTGTGGGTGCAGCTCTTGTTATACATGATGCCACCTAATCTCAGATCAGCCCTTTGTGGTAAAAAAGTAAACACCAGTTATAATCCTAAATATCATATTAAGAATTTGTTGTTTTTTCTTTTTCTTTTTTTCTAAACGGTAGCCCACTACTGTACTCTGACCAGCAGATGTCACTGTTTGTCAGCCTAGTGCCTGGTCGAACAGCTGCTCCATGCCAACATGCACAGTAAAAGGTGTGCAGAGGTCAATCTAGGGTTAAGATTTGCACATTAAACTTTGAACTCCTGCAGCAGAGTTACGCTGTCACTAAAAAACAGTTATCGTTGTGTTTTTATTTCTTTTGATAGAAAACAGAGCAGCAAAAAAAAAAAAAAAAAAGCCAAAGAGTGTGCAGCCTGAAACATTTTTTATTTTTTTACATTTTCTTAGCTATGGTGTCCTGTTCAGTATCCACAGATTAAAGTCACAAACAAGCTAATTCGCATAAAAATAACCTGGCAACAGTGTTTTCCAAAAATCTAAGGCTAATATTTCTTAGCAGGTGTATATTTAGGTCACAGTGTCTGTAATCATAAACATTCCCCAGCTTTAATCTGAACATTTACAGGGAATTCTGCAGCAATGCTGATCTCATTCAGAGTGCAGTACAACGCATCCAGTGTTTAAAATTTAGTGGTTAAATTCACCCATGAAGGAAAATAAACAGCCTTGTTGTGCTAATGTGTTTAATGGATTACCTCACTGATTAGATGGCATTAATAACAACACTGAGTAATGCATCTATCTAATAAAAGTCGGTGATATCAGCACTGACATAAGATTCAGAAATAGTCCAACACCTTTGATGCTCAACCAGTTATACAGCAAACTAACCTGAGTGTTTGTGTTGCGAGGTTTTGACTTACTGGAGGAGTTTCATGTGCCTGACTCAAGAGGAGTGAGGAGGGTGGACGGCTCTCAACCTGAGGCAGTGGCCTACCGGATCAACCCCTCCATCCATCTACGGAAGTCCATGAGGTACAGATCTGCTAAACCTCACTAGACCTTAGAAATAATTAAAAACTAACTTAAGAGCACTCAGAGAACTTCCCCCGAAGGTCTACACTAAAACTTTTATGTTTTATGTTGTTTTATTATAATATGAGGATGTCAGCCTCCTCTTATTGGCTGATGTCTGACCTTTGGCCTATGACCTTGAGGCATTACATGCTGACTTTTAATTATCTTTATTCATATGACTGGAGCAGAATTGCTCTTTGGCTTCTATAAGCTGTGAAAACTTGAGAATATAAAGATATAGTTATCCGTGTGCGATTTTGCCAAACCATAAAGCGTCATTGTGAGATCTTAGGGCATCATGCTGACAAAATAAAAAAGTTTGTTGTACAGCTCTCTCCATTCCCTTTCATATAATATATTACTTGATACGGATCTCAAGTGTTGTAACCAAGGTGTGTGTAGGAGTGTACACTGAATATCAGGTGTGGTCACAGGTGCAGCAGAGGACACCTCTGATCACACTGCATCTGGTCAGGAGTGCAAACGGAGCTGAGTCCTTTAATCTTTCAAGACTGGTGTTAAATTTCTCTTTGTTGGACAACTTAACACTGACAACTGTGTTGTGTCTGCAGTATGAACAAACAACTGTGGTGTAGGATTCTGGTACAGGTGTCACTGACGCAAGTTAAAGTACTGCAGGTCAAGTTCCCACAGTCGAGCTTTTTCATATCAGAGAATTTGACTTGTCACAGTAGGAAAATCACAGGTGCTAATGATGGCTTCGTTTTGCTCAGAGAGGGAGGTCCTGCCTTTGTGCAAGTTCACCGTTTAAAACATCTGTTTTAAAAGCTTAGCAACATTGATTGACACTTTATTATGTAGAAAATGCATTTTAACATGTTTTTCCTTTTTAGTTTTGTGCAGACTACAGCTGTAGATTAGCTACCAAGCTAACTTTGGCACTAGTGCTATATAAAACTCCACCACCACCATAGTTCAAGTGTCTCAGTTTTTACTTCTTCATATAAAATAAAACTATTAAATTCCCAGATTTTTTTTTGCTGATTTTTGAAGTAAAGTACCCTCTGTTTAGTCACCCAGCCCTCTAAACCTGATTCTTGTGCCACAGCGACGTGTACCCAGATGGACTTCCCTCCGACTACTCGGTCATTGCAACATTTAGGGTGACCAAAGACACTGCCAAGGAGTCCTGGAACCTGTGGCAGATCAGTGACCCTGAGGGACAAGAGCAGGTTGGCCTTCGGTTCCAGGGTGATACACGTTCCTTAGACTTCTTCTTCACAAGCCCCCATGGGAGCCAGATGCTGAGGACCTTCCATGGTGTGGAGAAGGTGTTTGATGGAGAGTGGCACAAGGTAGGACTGAGTGTGAAGGGCAGCCAGGTGAAACTGCTGATAGACTGTGAAGAGATCAGAGTGGAGTCCATTGATGAGCCAAGGCCAATCATCCACCAAGGATATACCTCCATTGTAAAGCGTGCTGCAGGAGATCACTCTGTATCTGTATGTTGACACTTTGCATTTTCAATTAACTAGTCTTTGTTTTGATTTTTTTTTTTATATAGCTTTATTTTCTCATATTATTTTCCGTTTCTTTCAAGGTGGATTTACAGCAGATGGAAGTGTCATGTGACCCAGAAAAGGCCTATTCAGAAGGTTGCTGTGAGCTCTCGAGCGTGGTGAGTCATCCATCTAACATCACTGCATCTCTGTTTTTAGTGATAGGTGTGGAGTATGTGTGGAGTCACATGGTTACCTATATGTCCATTGCAGTGTGGAGGATATGCAGTGATCGGCCTTACAGGGGGGAGACCCTCTTGCAAATGTATGCATGGGCAGCCTGGCATCCAGGGCGCTCCAGGACCAAAGGTGAATGTCATTCTGCATGCAGCTGGCTCAAGTTGACAGACAAGTTGAATCTGTCATGCCATATTTTTTATTCTTCTGCAGGGTCATAGAGGCCTTCTGGGAGAGGATGGAGACCCAGGGAGACCAGGGAACTGGGTAAAAAATATACAATATTCCATGCAAGCTTCAAACCTCACTGGATGAATGCATACTGCAGTATATACATCATGTATTCTCAGCATGAGCAGAATCGTCTTCCTCTTGCCGCTCAATAAAGAGTTAAGCTGGCTTGTGGGTGAGGGAGACTGTAAAACTTTCATTCGTGAGACAGCAGCAAAGCTGTGGAAAATGGCAACAGAGGCACAACTGAGAGACGACAGGATGGAAACAGATCTGGAAGCAGAAGCGCTTAGCGATAGTAAACACTGGGGCTCCATTCATGGTCCGAAAACTCATGTTGAAGAATCCTAGATAAACATGAACCAACATGGATGCGACAATAAGCTGTTGTTGTAGCTCTGAAATATGCATTTGCATCTTAAAAGTTAGGCGCTGTTGTTTTAGAATACAGGATTAAACTCAAACTGGCAAACGATCACAGGATTTGTAATGGTTTT